GAATATTTGAGAATACTTTTACTTATTACAAAAAAAGGAACCCAAATACTGAAAGAGTAATACCATACTTCTTTTCATTTTTCTTTTTATTATAGACAAGTTGTGTTTATATATAAATATTACAATTAAATAATAGTGCAATAAGTTATTACTTGTAATTGAAACGCCAAATAAAACAATTATTATGAATTCACTAAATGATATTTATTATGATAGACAAATGGTAAGATTTTGTTTCTTTTTCTAGGATGAATTATTTTGATCCGTATAATTTTAAGATTATTTATATATATGTCATATTCGATTCAGAAAAACTTATCACTGTTTCTATATATAATTATAATAACTTTGACATATTCAGATCTAAACTAATACTTGTTTCTTTTGTAAGAAACACAAATTAGTTGAGCAGTCTAGGGTAATGATATCAAGAAATAATATTTCCAAACCGTTGATCTTGAAAGCCCATTATATAAATAAGAATGTATGGAAACAAACATTTCCGCTCATACTAGTTCCTAATTTAAGAAAGGAAATTTTAGAATAACAAAGTCTGCTGGACATATCCTTAGTCGTTTTTGCTCAAAGAATGAAAATGTTTTTCGTTATTCAAAATATTTCTTATTTATTTAATCTAAATATTTCTCAATTTTGTATTAGTAAATGATAAAATGTTCTTTTAATCTTATACATTTCATCTAAAAATATAAAAGTCATGAAGTAGTTTATTTATAGTTTTCTCACAAAAATTTATCAAGGTTTTCATTAGTCTAGTTGGATTTTCTTTCAGAACACTAGCACATATATATACAAAGCATAGTGAACTCTTAGGAGAAAAATTTTACGAATTTATAATAAATCTAACAGAACAAATTTATAATATTATATTACGAAATAGAACAATGCATTTCAACCAGTGACTTCAGGAATACATTATTGTGGGCAAAAGTCACACGATTCTACTAATCGATGTGTTATATGTGGATCAAAATCGATTGGAATAAACTTTGGAGTATTAACATGTGCTCCTTGTAAAGGTATTGCATTATATTTTTATTTATTTTTTTATATCATATTTGCTTTTATCTTATTTGAAAATAAAAGCTTTTTTCCGACGAAATGCACGACGAAAAGAGGTAAGAAAAGCAGTTCTTGTCCTACTGAAAAACTATTTGTTATTGCTGTTTAGCTTCTTGAATTACCATGTCGACATCGTGATATGAGTGCATCAATGATGAATAATTATGAGATGAATGAGAGAACAATGCGTTATTTACAAATTCGTCGATGTTCATCATGTCGATTGCGTCGTTGTTTTGATATGGGAATGAAAGAAGAATTAGTTCGAACAGATGAAGAAAATGAACGATATAGACAGCTTCTTGATATAAATCGTCGACAACGAGATTTATTAAGAGAACAAATACGAGAAATAAAACAATTGTCAATCCCTCAGGTAAATATTGATCATAGAAAATAGATGACCGAAAACGAAATAATTGGATCCTTTTTTTGGTGTAAAATTATCCATTTCTGTTTTAAACTTTTCATTTATGTTGTCTCTACGTATAAAAAGTGTATTTTCTCAAGATTTAGAAAAAAGAGAAGTTCTATAAAACTAAAGAATCTTGTTTTTACTGTGCATCTTATATATCCGTGTTTATCACGTGTGAAAGTGTCAACCGGTTCGTTTCTATATTCTTTTTTTGTACGATATAGTTGCTTTCTATACGGTCGTCATTAATTCCAGAGTACTTACCAAATGCTTTCTCTACATGAAATTAAAAAAACTAATTTCATATTTAATCTTGAGAGAAGACAATTAATTCTTATTTGTACAGTTTATTCGGCTTCCTGAAAGATTATAAGTTGTCAAAAGATAATATAAAATATATATTTAGGATGAATATCGAATGTAGAAAAAATTTGAATGAGAAGAATCCTTTCAACTTACTTCCCTTTATCATATTGGTTCATCAAGTAGTCTAACGAATACATTAAATAATAGTTATTCCAGTGAATTAAAATATATCGAGGCCAACGTTCTCAAAACAAATAGTGAATAAATATTAATGAAAAAGATTTAAATAAACAATTAACTATCTCGGTGTTATATTGGAAGCTAAGAAACTTTATTGTATTTCCAGCGTCATAATTCTCTAAGAGATACCAATAATTTGTGAATAATCTCTAAATGTTCATTTTCATTAACTTAAGTGTTCTAAGGATTACTTCTATATTGCTTTATATTTTCTTTTGCAGTATATGGTAGATAATATTGATCTATCAGCAGAAATAGACTGGCGTCATTTATCAAATATTGTTTATGCTTATGAGTCATGTTGTATTAAAACTTATCTTCGACAACGTTCTTCAGTTATTTTTAATAGAACACCACAATCACCAGATGAACAACCATACAATATATATCCAACAACTATAACAATGAGTATTGTTCTTGCAGTTTCTTCATTTCTTAAAACATTACCAGCGTATTATTCTCTTCCTCGTTCCACTCGAAACTATCTATGTAAAACTAATATTCGACCATTAATCTTTCCTAATCTTCATGAACTTAATCAATCATGTTATGCTGAACCATGGCAGGTAAAAAGAGTCAAAATCATTCAAAAATAGTTATTTATTTGAACAAGATAAACGATTGTTTCTTGTTTTGTTCTAGGTGAATGCTTATAACAAAACATGGGAGTTAATTTGTGGCATACAATTATATGAAGAATTTAATAAAGCTGAAAAAATGGCTGAGAAATCATGGATAACTGATCCAATAGTGACGCGTTTATTTGTTGTTATCCTATTCTTCTCTACTCCTCTTCATTATCATGATGATTCTTCAACACCAACAAAAATCCTCAAGAAAAAACAAGCTATTTTTCAGGCTCAAAATGCATATATAACACTTCTATGGAAATATTTAACACACCGTTATGGATCAGTAGGATCAATTCGAATATATCTAAATCTAGTTCATGTATATATGAAAATGCAAGAAGTTGGATATGGTATGTATATGCAATTAACAACTCAAAAAGATTTAGTTCCAACACATGAAACTCTAAGCAAATTGGTTACACTTGATATTAATGATACACAATAGCAAAGAAAAAAAAATTAGAAATGAACATCACCAAACTAATTTTGAAGATGAAAGAACTGAGATATTTTATATGTATTTTGATATTATGTATATATTTTATTTCAAATGAAATAAAAGATATGAAAATGCAATTGAATGATTTGATAAAATTGAACAAATACAACGAATCAGTTGAATGCTTAAAACAGTTTACTTTTATTCTTTTTGTTCTTTGTAACATGACCCATATGTCTGTGATTTCTGTTTTTTTTAGTTTACTCGAACTCAATTAATGATAACAGTAATCATTTTTAATTAACTTTAACAATAGAAAATAGATTCAATGTTTTGCCATTAACTTTATTCGATTTTAAAGAGAATAACACTTATTATGAATTATATTTTACCAGTAGGAAAATAATCCTCATTATATATCACTAAAATCATTTAAAAATAATTATTTTATAAATTGAATTTTTATTCCATGATGCAGTAACAAATAAAATTTAAAATATCTGAATTCATACTTATCCTAAGTAAACATGTGATTATCTGTTCTTATCGAAACTCTTGTAATTAAATCTAATATTATTGATCTGTCTATATTTAAATTGATATAAATATTAATTAACTAAAATAATATTTTCAAAGAAATTGGTGTGTGTGAGTGTGGGTGTGGACACTATCACCTACATAGATTACACCCACACACACACCCTATTTCTGTTATTATTTTATTCCGTGGTATTTTCTTTTCGTATAATATATCAACTATTGAATCATTCATTCAGGTTGTAAGTGTATCATATCTATGATATCCATAACCTTTTCAATGATAAGATGTATTAGCAATTTTAGTGAGTTGAAGAGGGATTCGTATATTGATTGAAGAAATTTTTCTTCAATAAAAACGAATGAAAAGAGACTTTATATTATCTTCATAAGCTGCGAAGTTGCCATAATAAAAAAAAACAACGAACATATTCGATGTGAAACAACCGAAATATTTATATCATCATCGAAACTTGATCAGTCCGTGAATGTATTTACGTCATCGTGATCACAATCATCAAAACAAAAACATATTCAATACAATACAAAAAAATTATAATATACTTATTAACTGTATATATATACAAATGAAAAGAATAATAATCTACACGCGTGTCTATAGACATCACACTAAATTACTGAAAAAAATAAATTCACATTCAGAATGGACACGTCTTTTATAATTTGTTTTTATGGATAATATCTTTTATGACTTCAATAGAAAACTTTTTCTCTATCTCTGCTAGATTCTAACTTGATCAAGACCGAAATAGATTTGAAATTCAATAGATCGGGTTTAGACTTACACCAATGACATAATATAAAATATTTTAGTTTGCTCAAAGCTTTAGACTAAATCAATCGATTTTCTAATTAATCGAAGAACGGATGAAATAAATCCTTATCATTTATACCTTTTTCGTCTACTTCAATAATACTTCAAGTAGTTTTATATATTATTAATCACTCTTTGTTTTTATTTTGTTCTATTCTTCGTGTTGTCACACGTGGTTGTATACTTATTTTTCTTTTTCTATGAGTAAAATACATGAAAAATAATACGATTAAGACGAAAGATTTCTCTATATTATGAAGATTTTATTGAAAACTACGAATTATTTCTACACATAATATTATAAAAAAAACAATTTAGGCAGAAAACATTTGATAAGTGATAATAGAGTATTTATTAGAGAGTACAAGGAAAACAAAGATGATTATATTAATGAGAAAAGATAAAAAAAAGAGTACGCACAATATAGAAGATAAATAATGAAACTAGCTAAGTAAGAATAGATGCATGCAGAGCATAAGTAAAGTTCTCTTCATATAATAAAACTGCTCATCAGTTTTAGTTATTACATTTAAGACAATAATATTGCCAAGGACTCTTAGTTTGACCAGCAATACGAACACAACATCCTCCATTGGCACCACAACCATAACCATTAGCGCAATCGAAATAACTTGGATTGTTTGGATACGTATTGTGAACAGTGGTGTAAGTGCCACCAGGGCAAAAGGTAGAAGCAGCACCAGCACAAACATTAGAATTAAGTTCACAAGTGCCGTTAGTACCAACTTTTTCTGCCCACTTACTATCATAACAAGTCAAACCACATGTACTACTAGCATCATAGTGGTTATTTTGATTGCATGTATCTCCACATTGAGTAGAACCACCACAAATTGATTTAGCAGCAGCACGTTTGTCAACGTATTGATTGAGATATTCTGCTACCAAGTGTCGGCGAGCAGCATAAGAATTGGCATAATCCATATCTTCATTGCTGTCTTCTTGTACATAACAGTTTATTGTCAAGAATAAAGAGACAAGAATCAAATAAGCTAATGTTTGAATACCACTCATTTTTTGATTGCTGACTGATCAGATGGTGTAGTTAAATAACCAAGGTAGAATGTATGCACAATGGTGTTTGTACATGAATATTCTCATCCTTATATATCTATCGGACATACCATAGAGAGACAAAGGGCGATCATAAAAAATAACATATTTTGATCTCACAATCATCCTTACTAAATATAAAACCGATATGCATCAATAGAGAAATCTGGAAAAAAATAACGGCGTATATTATAAATCATATAACGACAAAAAAATTGTGTTGATACGAAGAAAAAATTTTCTTAGCCACACATATGTCTATCATAGGTGAAATTATTTTCAAAAGATATACACGTGTTTTTTTTATATGAAAAATAAAAAAATTAAAATTAATCATACCTATTATTGAGTACGTACAGATAATTATGTGTTTACATTTTCAATCTTATTAGATTATATAAAAAAATAATTGTAAAGAAAATAAATTCATATGATAAGATAATCGATTTATTAGGATAAAATCTATCACTCATTGAATAGTCAAAACTTTCGATTTCTCCAATAACGAGAATGTAGAATTAAGGAATGTATAAATGATTATTTTATTATTCAATATCATCAATCGAATACTATCTCTTTCCTTCTATGATTTTCTTCATTGTAATTCTATTTGTTTATTATACATAAATATCAATAAAACATACAAGATAAATTCATATTATTAAATTTTATATTGGTATTAAAATAATATTTTTATCCGTTCTATATTTGTTAAAATAATCTATTTTGTAGTTAAGAAAATTTTCCTGTAGATGAATAATATTATTTGTATTTATTGATTGTTTGAAATAGCATTTCGCCAGAAGAATATTGATAACTCTCGTTTTCATTTGGTATAAAATTCATTATTTACTCTATTTGAAATTGTATTGATACTCGTCTGGCGAAATATTATTAGCAACTTAATAGCTTACCTTTTATTGTAGCGACAAAAGATGATATAAAACAAAGTCAGATTAATGTTCATCAACTGATTTATCAAGCTCGTCTTTGACCTGTTCTTTTTTAATAAATAAATTTGATTGAATTTAATCTGCTCATCATTTCTTTGTTCGACATTTCTATAGTTTCTTATTTTGATATAATTCTCTTCGTCATTTTTATATTTAATCAGAATTATTTCCAATTATTTTTTTTGACAAACTGATTGACTTTTATGAAAATATAATTTAATATTCCATGACAATCAGATTTAATTGATACATTAGCTTTCATGACTTGAATAATACAAAGAACTGTTTCATCAGCAATTATCTTCTGATCAATTTGCACCGATATTAATTGAATAAGTTCACCAGGTATAGTATGAAAAGTTTTCTGATTATTATCTAATTGTTGTTATGAATCTATTGATAATTGTTAAACACTTCAATTTTTATTTGTAGCGGAATTCTATATTGAAAATATTTTAAAAGTACGTTTTTTAGCTTCATTTGATGGTCAAACTACCAGTATGAGTAATACTTTACATATAAAATTTGCAAAATATATCAATATAATACGTCAATATACTGGAGAGTTTTTTACCGAAAATTATCGTAAAAAAGTTCCTATTGCTATTTCAGCATGAATTGGTGAACAATCGGATCAACTTTGAGCAACAACAAATGTTGTGATTAATGGATGTTTTCATATAGAAGTGGCTATGTGCACCCAAACAGTCATAGGAAATTATTTAGTAAAAGTTAAGTTAGATAAGTCTTATATGTACTTGATTTTTAACATTATGAAATGCCTTAACTTAATAGCAGGGTGTGGGTGTGGGTGTGGATGTAGATAAAGAGAACACCCACACCCACATCCACACCCTAATTTCATTAAAAAACTTAGAAAAAAGAAAATGTTCTCGAACATCAAATGATTCAGTAACTTTAATAAATACTTCTTATAAAATCATAACAATATCAATAAATTATATTCTATATACAAATATCTCATTAGAAAAACATCTATCAACATGTGATGATTGTATATTTTTATATCGAACAAAATTAAATGATCATAATATGAAAATTATTGTTGAACAAGCAATAAATATTGAACAATGTCATATATTGAGTTTACATTCTAACTCTCTCAGATGCTTTAAGTAACAATACAACATTATGGAGATTATGACTTTCGAAAAATTGGATATGAAATATTGGTACTTATTCATTAGCAGTTGTATTGACATTTAGTAATTCAACACGTCGTACACTTAATTTAGGTAAAAATGGTATTTCAAATGAAGATCTACAATATCTAGTTGATATGCTTAAAATAAATAAAATGTTCATAGAATTATCTTTATATGATATTTTATTTAATAGTCATGGAATAAAAAATTTCCATAGATTAATCTTTCAGATAATAAATGAATTAATAGTTCTAGTACTAAATATTTCATATATATGCTGAAATATAATCGAACATTGTAGAGTTTCTTTCTATACAAAATTATAATTTTTATGAAACAAACAAAATGAAACTTCGAAAAAAAGTCAAAGCGAAAGTAAAATATGATATTGAAATTTAAACTTCTATGTATTCTTATTCAAATAGATCTGGAATCATATAATATGATTTAATAATAACACGAACAAATAATTTATTAAAGAATAGAGATTTAAATTTTTTTCTCTTTTCATATAAATTCTTTGAAGTTTTTACACGTTTTCTTATATACTCGTTATAGTATTATTTTTATCGAGGTGCATCCGATAAAATCAATATTCATATATAAACGAATACATGTGTGCACGACGTTTCATGGTTGTCAATGTAAAACGAATAAATGTATATACTATCAGATTATTTTCTAGATAAATTCAAGGATTAATATTAAGTTATATAAATAATTTGTTTTTCGTCTGTATATTATTAAGAAGACAGTAGTAATAGAACGATGGTCTTTTCTTTATTACTATTACATGAATAACGATGAGTACCCGTTATCATCAACCAGAGACGGTCAATATTAAGTATTCAAAAAAAATATAAATGGTATGTCACGATTTCTTTTACGAATTTCCTTTCTATTCGATGAAGTAGATAATTCTTTAGCAAAAATAATATCATCTATACTCATTAATCATCATATTTTATTTAAACGCAATAATATTAATTATGATGATTAACAAAACAAGTGTCCGTCTGATTTTTTTTCTTTAAAAACAACGATAGTCGATGATTAATAAATACATAACTAATTAGACAAGACTATTTATCGATAATTTCAAAAACAAAAACTGTATTTTGAAATACTTGATGATTGTAAACAAATCATATCAAATGAAAATAAAAACAACTTTTATGCAGTTATGATCATATATATTCACTAGATAAATAAAAAAAATTTTTTGACTATTTTTTGGTAAGATAGTCTTTATCAGATAACAGATATTTTAGCACTCTTTTAACTTGAAACAATAAATATATGTACAGGTATTTTTTTTTCAATATTTATTAAAAAAAGATAAATTAAAGTTAAAAAAATAAAAGTAGTTCTAATTTCTAATAAAAATTTAAAAAAAGATGTTTAAATGAAAAAAAACAGTTTGAAGTTAAACTGGTAAAGATGAGTTATATGTGTAAGATGGTTGGATATTTTTGTCGGATTGTGATTGAGATGCATTATATCTACTTTGTGATATAGTTGATCGAAGTTGACCTAAACTGTTTGGTTTATGAATAGATCGTGAACGAGATGAAATTCTATTTGGTTTCCAATTATTTTGAATTGTATATGGTGGATTTTGACGTTTATTCACTGGTATTCCAGTTGTTGTTATTGCTTGACCTGGTTTGTCATCTTGTGCCCATTTTTCACCATGAGCTAAATAGAATATAAAATAAATTTATTAAGAAAATAATTTTAAATAAAAAACAATTATTTTACCAATCCAATCAAGTCCTCTCATTTCTTCATCAGGTGATAAACGAATTCCAATTGTATATTTTAATGGAATAAGAATTGCAGTTGTACATGTAGCAGCAAAACCTATAGATAAACAAATAAATCTTATTTATTTATAACTAATATTTAATCAACATACCAACAGCAGTTAATATGCCAGCTATTTGATACCACATTTGAATTGGATGTCCATAGAAAGCTCCATCAGCACCAGCTGGATTATTTGATAATTGACAAAATAATCCTGTCATAAATGCACCAATAATTCCGCCTAAAATCAAAATACTCTTTTTATTACTTCTTAAAAATCTTTCTTTCTAATAACATACCACAACCATGAACCACAGCAACATCTAAAGTATCATCAAATATCGAATGATGTTTATAAAGAAGAAGAAAATAAATAATAATTGTTGGGATTATTCCAAATAATAATGCCCAACCAGGTTGAACAAAACCACATGCTGGTGTTATACCAACTAAACCAACAACTGGACCAATACATGCACCAGATACTGATACCTGACCACGAATAGCATCAATTATAACCCATGTTACTAATCCAGCAGCTGCAGCTGCATATGTATTTACTAATGCTAATGATGCTAAACCACTGAAATACAATATATAAGTGATTTATTTAAATTAAATATAAAAAATAATAACAGACCTTGCTATATTAGCTGAACCAGCATTAAATCCAGTCCAACCAACCCATAATAAACAAGTACCAAGAACTGTAAATGGAATATTATGAGCATTGGATGCATGCGGTTTATAATCTACACGTTTTCCTAAGATTGCTGAAGCAACATAACCAGATACACCAGATGATATGTGTACAACTGTTCCACCAGCAAAATCTAGTGTTCCTAAATGTTTTAACCATCCATTACTACCCCATACCCAATGTGCCAATGGATCATAACAACAAGTTGTCCATATTACTATAAATATCATATAAGGAATTACTTTCATTCTTCCAACAATTGCTCCTATTAGATAAAAAAAATAATTCTAGACATATATATTTTATATTTTCTAATAAACCTGATATAAGTGCTGGTGTAATAATTGCAAATGTTCCTTGATATGCTGCATATGTTAATAATGGATAAGATGGACTATAAAAATCATCTAAACGTTGTCCAAATCTTAATGCTGAATCAGCAAATGAACCAAAACCAGCGCTAACTGGTGAACCAAATGCAAATGAGAATCCAAATAGAACCCATTGAACAAATACAATTCCCATACAAACAAATGATAGAAATAATTGATTCAGAATATTTTTTCTATCAACAAGACCACCATAAAAAAAAGCTAAAGCAGGTGTCATCATTAAAACAAACGCTGTTGATACCATCATCCATGCATTATCACCAGAATCGAAAACAAGTGTAGTACTTGCAGTTGTGGTGGTACTAATAGTCGTCGTAGTAGTTGCCATATTTTTTTCTTTTTTCTAGTATCAACTAGAAAAATATTTGTGATTGATGATTTTAAAAAGAAAACAAAATGAAGTTTTAAATCAAAATCATATAAGGTTTTTATAGTGTATTTCATAAAGCGAATATTCAAGGTATTTTTCATTGGTGACCCGAATAATTTATCTATTATGGAAATCAAACGATGATTAATAAATAAATACGTATACTCTCTCTCTCTCAATGCGTCTACTAATTAAGACTCTTACTTTTTATCAAAATATTAAAAAACTGTACAAATACAATCATCGATTGGCCACCTTTTCCTCTGAATATACTACATACCTGTATATTCTTACCGTGTCATATTATTAACCTCTAATATTTTTGTATGCTTCTCATTCATTAGTTTTCCGCATTAGTCTTCAAATAAAACATCTATGAGATTTTTTTTTTCGTTCTTAAATATATTTGTATCACATGTTTGTTTATCATACGGATATTATTTAAAATGTTACATCTACAAACAATCATAACTATTTATTGTATAAATATAGAAATCATTGAACTAGAAAAATATACATAAAGTGATGATGTAATATCTAAATAAAACATGTACTTTTACTAATTTAATTCTATAAAATATTATTGTGGTTCACAACAAAAAAAAGTTTCTAGTTCTCGATAAATTATGATTGAAACTGTTGCAATTCATTACAAGATGATTATATTTAATAGTCTTTATTAATATAAAACGTGATGTTATAATGAGATACAAATATATATATATAAAAGATGAAAATCTAGAAAATAGTTTTTAAATTGTATCTGATCGTTGGAATAAATTAAATTCATTTTATTAACGAAAGAAAAGAAACTAATGAATAGAATGTCAACTATACATTCATTGTGTTTCACAATAATATATAACATAGAGATATAAAATACGAATTAATAATATTATAAAGTAAGAATTGGATAGTTATGAGTATTTGATTAATTTTTACATAATTTATTACTCATTTCTAAGATTTGCAACTTGGATAAGGAATCAACCTTAATAAAATATTTATCTCATTTTTGTTTGATTATTAAAGGTGTGGATTGAGAATAAAGATAATCACACCCACCCTCAAGTATTTATATGTTCTTTTGATTAAGAAAGAATACATTCATTGAAACAGCATCGCATTAAGTTATTTTTCCTTTCTTCATGAAGAGTAAATCAAAAGCGGACGCTACAAAGTTAAAGTATGAAAATTTCTATAGATATATAATTAATAATATATTAGGTTTATATTAAGAATTTTTTACTAGAATTTGTCAAAGACTGGAAATAATACATCTCGTCTATACAATCTTATGGAAAAAAAACATGATTTTTATTTTTATTTCGATATAGAAATGTTTTATTATCGAAAACAACATCGAGTATAATTCAATTTGTAGTTTTCGTTTTTATAAAATCTTTTTCAAGCAATTCATTTTCAACGATAAGATGTTATTAATGAAAATAAATCTTAATTTATTCCAGATGATCATTCTCAAATAACAATACAAGAGTAGTTTAATTCATATAATTGATATATTTTATTCGTGTCATTCTAATTATAAAAGTGAGTGTAGGGCAGGGTGTATTGAGTGCGATCGATCATGATATGTCAAATGGGGCGATAATATAATTTTTGAATGAAATTGTACTCTTTTTCTAAAACTCTTCGATCCACCACTAATTATCCATAGTGAAGATTTGATGAAGTCTCTCGATCGAATTTTTATATATACAAATTCATTAAACGATTCGTGACATGACAGAACTCTATTCCATATCAATGAAGTGTTTCTATTTAAATATCATAACGATTCAGCTTCTAAACGAATCAATATATGTTAATTGATATTCACCTTATATCTTAACTATATGAACGACAAATCGATGGAAATTTTCATATAATTCTAAGATTTTCAAATTGCACATGTTTGAAATGAATGAACAAGAGCAAAGTACAATTTCGTGCTGAATGATTGAAAAATGGAAAAATACTGTTTATTGTAGAAAGTATTAAAAAACTTTTATATAATACATTCGATTAAATTTATTTTAAATATTAACTTCATAATATACATTTATAAAAAAATATTTTTTTGTGATCATCACATTTCACAAAAATATATTTTATGAATACAGACACTTTTCAATGCTTATCTAAAACTCAATGTAAAATTTCAAATATTCACTTATAGATTTTCTCTATATTAAATTTGCAAAAGAAATCTTAAGCATAAGACACAAATATTTAATTAGGCATTTAGGTGCCTTTTCTTTCTGTCGATTTCATATTATTGTTAATGTATGTTTAAAAGATTGACCTGAATAACGTCGAAGGTAAAAATATCGAAATTCGGTCAAATTCAGGTTAATCGCTTAAAGATCAATTTCGTTATTTTTAGCACCGAATATCTCGATTGTAGATGCGAATTTGAGCATGAATAGTTTATTTAATTATTATTCGTACCCAAAGTCCTTATTTTATAGATATTTGATTTGTTTTACATGGTGAGACAATCGTTTTCGTTCTATTTCATCTCATGCGAAGCTTTGATGGATGATTATTAGTCTAGAGAATATGTCATAGTTAACACAACAATTGAGTTAAATTTGAAACACACGAAAGAAATTAAGAAAAGGAAAAATCTATTTTGAACGAAGAAATAATCATTATGAAAATAAAACTTTACGAACGATATAATATCATGAACTTTATTAATAATATTCAAGAAAAGTCGTAGGTGTGGGTGTGCGTGTGGATGAGGATAAAGTAGATACACCCACACACGCCCACACCCACAAGATTAATTTAAAAACAGAATATTTTCTCTTATTTAGATATACAAGATAATGAAGATAATGTAGTCAATAGTTTCATTTACTTGATGAAGAATTTATTGAAAAATGACTTAAAGCTATTAATTATAATATGATAAAATTATATTTTAATACATAATTGACTATTTTAATAGAAGTTACTGATGAATATATCAATTCATTTCTAAGAAAAATGTTCGAAAAAAAATCAAGAACGTTTTCAACAAATTAGGCAACAAAAAGTAAATATTTCTTTTTGTTTTTTAGAAAAACAATTCTCAATAATCAAAATCGAAACCAAGTGAGAAATTCTGTTAGAAAAAATATTTCCATTTATTTTATATTTATATAGATTATGAACAATCTAATTCTACAACATCTCTTCATAATGCTGATCAATATCATTATCCAGTAGCAACTACAAGTAGTTCAGTATGAAGTACAATATCATCTTTATTTGTCTAATCAACAACAACAACAATCTAATTTCTATGAACATGGTAAAATATATAGATCCTGAATTTTGTAGATGTTTTAAAAAGGATCGATAATTTCTTTTTTTTTATAATAGGAATGCATCGTTATATACTAAATCGTTGATCTTTAATAAATTTATCTCAGGTTGATTATTCACCATCAACACAAACATTTGTTCTTTCTTCAAGTACAACAGTTTTTCAATCACTATTATCACCACAAGAAAATCAAAATAATTTTTCTGAACAATAGCGTATTTACAAATAGATATTTATAAAAAAATATATTTCAGTTTTTCTCTTTCCTTTTTTTTCTTCATTAGATTCAAATAATTTATCAATCTCTATTTCATCTGCTAAACCAATTTCGACATTAATTTTTTCATCGAACTCAAATTCATATCATAACTCACTTGGATCACGTTATCAATGACGATCTTCAGCTCCTCTTATCAAATATTCTTCATTATCTCCAACTCAACGTATTTTTCGTTCTTCATTACTTCCACCAATACTTTCTAACATTTTCATTCTCAGTATTCTTCAAATTATATTACTACTCCAACGTATTATCATTAATAACAAACACCTCTTTCCTATCATCCACCACACAAGATCCAACAGCCATAAATAATAAATGATATAGTGAACCACCTGCTCCACCTATAAAACATTTTCGATATAATTTAAATCCACAACAGCATTATTAAAATTTAGTTTTTCTTCCAGATTATCTTAGATAAAAGTCAAATGTCAATATAGATGTTATATAGAACGGTGTTATTTTTTGTTTCTTTTTGCTCTTTCCTATGCATCTTGTGTCTGTTTGTCCTTGTTGATGATACTTTTCTTTTCATTCTTTTTCTGATAGATTATATCGATCATGAGTGTATGAAACAGATATACAAAAATATATTTAAGAAACAAAAAGCTATATATTCATTTTATATAGATTTCTACATTTTCTTACGATAATTGTTTGACTATATGCTAAGAAATATTCCACATTGATTGATTATATTGTTGAAATGATATTTAAAATACCATTTATACAATTGTCAGGGTAATAAATCGATTTTAGAATCATAGAACATGATTTATGCAGTTGTTTGTATCTAATAGAAAAATATCTTACTTCTTTTATTCTCATCTCAATTTTAATAGCTTCAATGATATCGACAAAATCGCGAGCTTAGACTATAATATTTAGTCGTTTATCTATTGATAAACTTGTCAACGCTGATGAAAATGAAGACGATTATTGATTATTTAATTTTAAATCATATAATTTATCAACTACTAGTGAAAAATGAATTAAAGAATATATTAAATCGTAGAACTTCGTTATTTTTTGCCTGTTTTTAAGAGCATGAACGAACAGCTCATGACAGTATTTTGATCTTCTCCGATTTGAAACGAAATATTGTTTGCTTTTCGCAATTCCACTATAAACTAATATTTGTCTTATCTTCGAATTCGATAATTAGGCGATTATTTTACTAATCCTGTATTATTTTAGTTGTATATGCTGTTAGTCATAATGAATACAATACTGATGAAATATAAGGTAAGTTTGTTTTTTCGTATTCACTTATAAATAAGTTAGTTTCATGAATATTGTATAGTGATACTTTTAGAAAAAAAAACTTGATAAATAATAAATGATATCATTTATATTTTACTTTTCTACTTTTTCTCATAAAATATTCAACACTAAAATAGAATATACATCTATACACAATACATGAAAGACTACTTCAACTACATGAATAATAAATATATAATTTATAAAAGATTGAAAAATCTGTTCCAAATACGATTATTGTAGTAATTATTTGTCTCAGATCACCGATATGTTCACAATGATCGTCAACCTCGTAAAGAAAGATTCACAATGGATTGAGGTTCATAAAAGGTGAGACAGCAATATGTTTACCTGGTGTAACGAGAAAGAAATATGTGAGAGAGAAGGATATAACCATGTAATAAGTAGTCATTAATATATGAAAATATTTTTGTTGCTATATTCATATAGTATGTCATCCATATAAAAAAAAATTAAATTTTTGTTTTGTTCTATAGAAGAAACTAATTATTAACATTAAAACAAGAAAAATAATCCGAACTGCATGATTTTTTTATACTAAATACTTTATTACATTAATTCATTTTTAAATAGTTTGATTGACAGTGATGATTAATTCGTTAAAAATAGTCAATAGCATATATTAACTAGCTTTAGAACTAAGAACAACTTCCATTTATTGACCTGAATTTTGTACAATATATTAATGTGAATTTAAGTATTATTTTTGTAATCAAAAGCATTTCAAATAGCTATAGAGATATGTAAAAGTAACCATATAATCACAAAATAATAAATAAAAGTATAGATGCTGAAAAAAACAATTCTAAAGTATGAATTTACAGTAAAGATTTCTGAATATAATACATGATTTTTATGTTGATTAACTGATAATGGAAAAGTGATGTTACAAAATATCTACAAAGATATATTCTGAAACGATTTGTTTTATTTCTTTTGTAACTATTCATAATTTATTTTCATCACAAAACTATAATGAAAAAAAACATGTAAAACAAAAGAAAAATACATCTAACTAAATTTCATTATGTTTTTGTATAAGAATTTCAAATATTGATGGATGATTCTTTTAGAAAACAACTACATAACAATATTTCGATTGTCATATAACACTTCGTTCAAATAAACAAATTTACACAAAAACAATCAAGATACTCTTCGTGATCTATTTCAATAGTTCGCTGTCAAAAATTTGAATATTTCATTCATAAATAATTATCAATGCTATGATCAAATCTTTTTATACATATTTTTTTTCGGTTTATTTCGATTACACTTTTTATTTCTTACATTTATGCACACGTGTCAGTGTGTATCTAATTGATTCGTTCCTTTCCCTTTCTACTTATATTCACATATGTAGATATTCATGAGTATTCACGATTCACATACATTTCTTTTCATATAAACCGAAAACAAGACGATAATCAGTATTCAAAAAACAGTCTTAGTTAATTTTTAATATTTATTTTCTTTAGATATATATTTATTGAAAAGATGATTAAAATGCATTAAAAGTTGAAAAAAAATAAAAAATGAAAAGAATAAATGTGAAAGATTACTGTCTACAATGATAATAATAAGAAAAAAAATGAGTAAATGTTTTGTTTTATATCAAAGTCTTTTGTTCATCTAAAATCAACTATTGATATCATTTTATTTTGATGATGCTTTGCATGCTCCTGTGATTGTGTCGGATGAAGCGCTAAGAGAAGGTTTTTTATCTTTTGTCCAGCATTTGCCACTCTTGACATTGAATGTCCATGCAATACAATCGGGATACGAGTCGCATGATGCAGCACATTCTGCTGCAGAGCGTACTTGTGCTGGCTCATTGGCATTCATATCACCTCCATAATTATCTTTGCCGACGACAATCTCTAAGCATCTTGAGCTTGTTGCTACATCTATATAAAATATAAAAGAAGAATTGTATTATTAACTATCAAATCAATAGTTATTTCATTCAAAACATTAATTATAACTTTGTTAAAATTCTCAGAGTTTTTGTATGAATTTATAGATAAAGAAAGGATTAAGGAAATATCATTTGGAATTGACTTACCGTGGTAAGGGGCTCCTCGTTTCATGCTTAAGAGAGTTCTGAGGAGTTGTTCTTCGTTTGAATCGTCATCATTGTAATTAAGATTCTTTGCACTTGTTTGGCTTATGATAACAATGCCAACAAGAATGAAAGTAATGATTGAGGATTGCATACTGTGCAGAAACTAAACAACAGAAATACATAGATCAATATTTGTATGATTATATAGAATATTTTACCTTAACGTATATGAGAGTTGTGAAGAATAAATGAAGGTGGATGGTGAATACTTGGTTTTCGATGGGGATTTATATAGAAAAGATTTTGTTGTTGATTTGTTGTTTATTTTAATGCGATTCAAAAAAATAGAGGGGGTGGGGGGGGATAAAATATATTTTTTTCATACAATCATCACCATAAAATCATCCTTGCGTTAAACGACGTGGAGAGGATGGCGTATTTTTCTTTTATTTCGATGAAAGAAAAATATATTTGTTTTTACTCATCTAGTTATTAATCAGATTCATATTTTTGATGCTCACTACTACATATGATTAAGAAATTGGTGCGCAATAATCGATAATAGTAGAAAGTAGTTTTGAAGCAAAACAAGACTCAAGCAATTGTAAAATACAGAGTGTGGTGTGTTTATCGGACCTTGACAAAAAATAGACAATGATCTATTTGATAATATATATTGTCCATTATTGATGATCCAAGGCAAACTGTGTCTCTTACTGTTAGGTTTACTGATAACTATCTACGACTCCTGCCCCACGTTCGAT